ACAAGTTGTTGTAAGCTGTTGTTGTTGTCAATTGGCTGAAACCATCCAATCTCAATTCAGTTATCACTATCCATCTAATGACAATTTGGCTTTACAGGCAGAAACCAGAGACTTTCAGGTAAGACAAGTATACAAGGTAGTCAGGTTTTGTTACTCCACACGCCTCTGTTTACCTAGCAGTAAGTAATTGCTGGAGTTTAACCCACTATAACCGCATAGTCTGCCGTTGATATTGCTGTCTAGCAAGCTTGCCCGCAGCTTGTCCAGCTTGGACCCCCACCCTTTAGGGCTTTAGCTTGCAGGGTTAACAGGAACTGAGTAGGCTTATAATATGTATGAGCTGAGCTTATAATGTGTAAACGCAGCAACCCTTTTCCACTAACCTCTGGCTCTAAAGATAAAACCCTTGGATTTGATATGTGAAGATAGAAGATGACCTTGTTGTACAAAGGCAAAAGAGCTGTCAATTAATCAAAGTCCATACAGAACGTTGCCTGGCCTGGCAAACACACACACAAACGGCTGTTGTAAGTGCAGGTTTTACGACTCCAACTTAATGTTGGTGGTTTTACGACCCCGCTAAACAACACAAAGTTAAGAAGTGCCGAGCACCAACATTTATAACCAACAAACAATACCACACCCCTTGCCCATCGCTGTTCCATTTTGACATCCCTGTAAATCAGTGGGGCCCAGCACCATAGATTCTCAGACTTTGCAGCCCCATTTACTACATTGGGCTGTTTATTGACTCATAAACTGCGAGGTTGTATTGTTCAATTACCAGACACTGACATTTAATCGTATATTGCTGCTTTCTGGAGGCCCATAGAGTAGTGGTTAGCACACTTGGCTTCTAAATGAGAGGTTCTAGGTTCATTTCCCAGGCAGAGAGAAACCTTAGGTAAGTTTTCTTGCCCCAATAGCGTGGCTATATCCTTTATCACTAACCAGAGGAGTTAAGAGACTAACCAGTCTCTTATTCCCTCATTATTTATCTCTCCTTTCCAGTGAGTATAGATCCTCTGACAAGTAGAACGACCCCTTTTCCCCTCATCATCCTTTCTAACTATATTCCAACCCGCAATATTTCATTGACAATCATGTCCAGGTTGCAACCATGATTCTGTTAATGAAATTACAGCCAATTCCTCGCTTTTGATTATGGCTCCTGTCCCCCCAGTTTGTTCCCTGGTCCTCCGTGGGTTGCAGTACAGACAGTGAGTGTAACAGGTGCCTGTTTTACGCCTGTAAATGCACCTCAAAACAGAGAGAGAAAGAGAAAATGAGAGAGAGAGAAAAGAGAGAGTACCAAGACCCACTGATAACTTTAAAGATGGACTTCATCCCCCACAAAAAACAAGCAACCCATAAATTTTACATTATGCGTTTCACAAAACTGATATCCTGGAATAATTTCAAGGCAGCAATTTCATCAGAGGGATTGGATCACTCTTGTAAATCTTGGCAGATTCACTGGTTTGGTTTATGGCATCATCTGAGCTGCTCAATTGGATTACAGCCATGTAATCGTTCCCAGATTTCTATTATCCGCTGTAAGGCATAATACATCAGAGACAGAATATTCCCATTATACAACATCGCTCTCTCCCCACCCCACTACCACCAAATAAGTATGTTCTGGCCCATAACCCTACCCCTAAGAGGAGCTCCCAGGCTCCTTGGTCAATAATCGCCTCGGTTTACCATTAAGAAAAATGGGGAAATTCACTCAATACCCACCCTGATTTCCATTCCTAGTCATTGCCCTCAGTAAGAACAACTCCTTCCACATAGAATGAACAGCTCAAAGTGCCTGAAAAAGACAGTACAGAGAATCGTGCAGACCGGAGGGAGCATGTGAGGGTGTTCCCTATAGACAGTCAGTTTGTGGGGGATGTTTTTCATAGAATCATAGAATTTTACAGCCACAGAAGGAAGCCATTCAGCCCATCGCGTCTGTGCCAGCTCTTTGAAAGAGCTATCTAAATCAATCCCACTTCCCTGCTCTCTCCCCACTGCTTTAAAAATTTGTCCTCCACAAATATCTATCTGCTTCTTTCTTGAAAGTAGCTATTGAATCGGCTTCCACCACCCTTTCAGGGAATGCATTCCAGATCCGAATAACTTGCTGTGTGAAAAAATTTCTCCTCACCTCTATGGGGGGGGGATTTGGAAAGTAAAGGGAGTAAGGGTGGAAGGATGACAACAGATAAATGTGAAACAGGCACCGAGCCTTAATATAGTAACTGAGAAAAAGTTATTTGCATGGTAATAATCTATTATTTTAATTAATATCCAAAGGATGGCACCTCCAATATCCTGGCACTCCCGAGTGCTATGGAAGATTGCTAGCCTAGTCCAGGGATGGCCAGTTTGCGGCCTAGATGACTATTCAACACCTGTGTAATGCCACCCGCGGGCCACAAGTTGGCCATAAGTGGCCTCGACTATGAGCTCAGGTGCCGATACCTTGAACCCACAGCCTTCTGTTTCAGACACTTTAAGTCGATTAAAATATAAAACAACTAATTTTTCTCTTCTCCAGGGTCCAGCCCACTGGGTTGCATCCTGCACAGAAATACCTTAGTTATGCTGGCGTCTGTCAGTTTGGTGCAGGCAGTCAATTTTAGCTCCTTGAGACGCATCAAAGCACCGAGAGAGGCTCCGTCTTTTTCTTTTGAGATCTCAATGTCGGGTTGAGTTATGATCTGGGATTCCTCATTGATGCACTTTGGTGGAGTACAAAAGCCCACGTTACCAAAGTTCCAGCTAAACATGGGCTCAGTAGCTCTCTGGGAGAAAAAACAGTGATCGCTTTAACATTAGGGACTGGGTGCAGCCCTGATCAGGGTAATTATAATAATAATAATCCTTGCATTTGATACAGCCCCTCATCACGTCTTTGAGACGTCTCAAAGCTCTTCACAGAATATACTGTAAAGTGAATTGACTGTATATGTTGTGGGCGAAAAATGGCAGCCAATTGCACACAGCAGCGTCCCACAAACAGTCATGGATTCAGTGACCAAGTTATTATTTTTTTTGGTGGGAGGGATTATTACCCCCAGAAAAGCGATCCACCAATCGACAAACAAATGGGTTCCTACTTACTGCTTGGTAAACAGAGGTGTGTGGTGTAAGGAAATCTGCCTAAGGTTTCGCCCTGAGAAGTAATGTTGAAAGCTGAGGCTTACAGACAAAAACCTCAATGGTTTGAATATAGGGAGGCTAAAATGGCTCTAACTTTCCCAAGGTTAGAGAGGAGAAAAGCAGTCAAGGGCTCCTTCTCTATAGCCCCTTCTATTGTTTGTGCTTATATGTGGCAGCTGGATGGAGAGTAAGGCTCAGCTGTAACACTCACTGCCAAGGCTGATACATGGCCAATGGCCACTCAGGGTAAGAAGAGCGGCCAGACCGGGAGCGTTGAAAGCTTTAAATTTATATTTTAAAACAATATTGGGGTCTAGTTTGTGGTATTTCTTAAATGCGTTACTTCAAAAATAAATCTGAGTCGTGAGTTAGTTCTGGAGTGAAGTTCCAGTGGGTCGATGGGAATTCCAAACATAGATGTTACAGGACAGGACAGAAAAGGAGGAGGCTATTTGGCTCATCAAGTCTACTCTTAAACCTAGCTATTCATTCAATCCCACCGCCCTGCCTTCTCCCCAAACCCCTTCATGCCTCTATCCTTCACATAATCCATCTTCTTCTCTCCTGAAACCCACAATGGACTCTGCCTCCACCACCTTATTTGGCAGAGTGTTAGTAACATGATAATATAAGAGGAAAATAATCCAAATCTGTGGAAAATTGATTTATTTTGATCAGCTGGATGGATGTCTGGAACACACAGAAACTCATCACAGTGCTTGAAAATTTCCCATTTGCCTGGAACAGAGTTGACACTCGGTCCCCAGAGGGACGCACCCTGCTTACGTAATCGTGGAAAGTATTAGGCACAGGTTGGCAAGAGCAAAGGCTTGGGGGTCCCCAGAGTGTGCGCTGGAATTGAACTAAAACTGCATAGCTCGTCATTGCAAACATTATCTGGCAAGCTATCCCCAATTGTCCAGCTAGGACCAGCTTAAAAGGAAATGTAACTCTAATGGAAGTGTTGTTTTGAAACCTTCCCAGCTCTCTGAAGGAGCGGCCCTGTTTGTTAATTCTACCCCGCTGCAGGAGCATCTGGATTCCGATGTGAAATGTCCATGTGGCCAATGATACATTCACAGGCAATAACAGAAACAGACCTGTTCTTTGTCGGGTCCACAGTTGCTAGTAGGTTGGTCTTTTCCCAGTAGCCCCCAGTCTGTTATTTCCTTACACCAGCCCAGACGGAGCACCTTCAGGTTCCTGAGGTAGCTGGTGATGGCGCGGACACTGATATCCGTAATGTACACACAGGAGGTGAGGTCCAGTTCCCACAGACTGCTCCCCAGTAGCTTTGCCAAAGAGAACACACTGGCGTCCTGCGGAATTTAACCCATTAAAAGCAATCGTATTAACATCAGTGAAATGCCAAGCTGTTCACATCAGCCATTTCCTTAAACACTCAATCCAAGCCTAGTGCCTTGTTCTCCTCTGATCACTTCAAGCTGTCAGTCACCTCTCTATTCAAAACAGTTATCGTTCTTAGAATCTGCTCACTTGCTATGGAAATCCACCCCCACCGAAGGAAGGCAGTATATGTTTTCCTCTTGAACACAGATGGTAAGATCTGGTTTAAGATACCTACAATCACTTGACTATTCAATATCACATAGCTTTGGAATCTATCAGGGAGGGATTGCACTACTAACCTGCCTGCCTGCCTATTACAGTTCAAGATCCTGGTCCTCACCTTCAAAGCCCTCCACGGTCTTGCTCCCCCCTACCTCTGCGACCTCCTAACCCCCTACCAACCTGTTCACTCCCTCTGCTCAGTGGGCTACGGTCTGCTTCACGTCCCCCGCCTCGCTCGCCCCACTATCGGCAGGCCTTCCGTCACTCTGCACCCACCCTCTGGAACTCCATCCCACAGTCCATCCACCTCGCCCCCTCCCTCGCCACCTTCAAGACTCATCTTAAGACCTTCCTCTTTGACCAGGCTTTCGATCTCCCTGCTTCCCCCCCTGCCCTCCATCCTCCCTCACCCCGAACCCCAGCTCGGCTCCGTAATTCTGTCTGTCCAGCACCTTGGGACGTCCTCCCGATGTGAAAGACGCTTTAAAGATGTAATTCTGTTGTTGTTGTTTGCTGTGGGCTTTACTTATTAAAGCCCTTCATGTTCTACTTATATTTGTGTCAGCCTGGTTCAGTTGGTATTATGCTCAACTCTGAGTCAGAAGGTGGGTTCAAGCCCCACGTTGAGACTTTGAACTCATGTCGACCATGGTAACACTCTAATGCAGTCCTGGGGAATGCACTGCATTGTTAGAGGCAGTCCTTCCGATGAGAACTTAAACTAAATAAAGTGATTAATTAAATGAAAGATCTTGAACTACTTTAATTAATTAATAAATAATTAATCAAACCCAGATCTTCTCGCTTGCGAAGTGAGTGCGCGAACCGATACACTACAGGACTCCACAAAGTCAATGATTGGTAAATACTGTGAAGCACTGCCAGGCTGTAAAGGTGTAGGTGCCATCCATTCCTTGGGATCTCAAGACATTAACCCTGTGTGAGAGGCACTGGATAAGTACAAGCTGTTCTTATACGGCGTTAAGTTATTCCCAGGCCTTACCCTCATCGCACCGCAGCAGTTGAGGTTGAGGGTTACAATGCCGGTGACCGGCTGCTGCGAGCTCAGCCCTTTGACCAGCTCAGAGCCGGTTATTTGGTAGCACTCGGACACGTCAAAGGTCTGAAGGGACGGAATGGACAGCAAGTCTTTCAGCGCCACGTCTGTCAGGCGTCGGATCTTGCCCAGGTACAGATGTCTGAGATTCAGCAAGCCTGAGGCGATGGTGATGGCAGACTTGTCGGTGAGCTCGGTACAGCCGGTCAGGTCCAGGGTGGTCAGGCCGGGCTGCCATCTACAGACTGCAGACACCGCTTCATCGCTCAGGTCCTTGCAGTTCTGCAGCACTAGCTCCTCCAGGCACAGCCCCTCCACCTGGACCAGGGTCCGCACTGCATCACAGCCGATTCCCGTCCGGCTGAAGTTCAAAGCCCTCAACGTGTGAGCTTGTCTCCTGATGAAGCGGAGGATGCTGATCAGCGAGAGCATAGCGGTCGAATTGCAGGCGTTGGTGCCCTGATACGGGTCAAACCGGAAGGCGATGTGACAGCCACTGAGCGAGATGGACATGAGGCTGGGAGTGCAGTCAGTGAGCCGGGTGAAGGTCAGATCAGATAGGAAGCGGAGGTTGGACAGATTCAAGTGCTGGAGTCCCACCAGGGCTGCCACGGTCCGCAGCCTGCTCTCCTCTTTGGAGAGTAAGGTGCCGGGCATGAACAGGCTGTTGCAGCTGCTGATGTCCAGCCTGGCCAGGTTAAGGCAGCAAGGGATGAGGGTCATGAAGGCGGCCTCGCTGATGTTGCTGCTGTGTAAGCAGAGGTTCCCCAGGTGGGGGGCCAGGTGGAGCGCAGCGCTCTGCACAACACGCTTCGAAACCGCGGACTCGTCGAGGTTCCTGATGGCAACACACGGGCAACGTCTCTTCCCTAAACCTTCGATGGCCGCCAGAGAGGCAGAGCATCCCTGGATATTGTACGAGACATTTTTCTGTATAAAAATTCCACAAATGATATTGGTCACCAAGGTTTGAGGTTATATCAAGACAACTTGTAATGTAATATGTCAAAAGAACCAGAGGGGGGATGAGAGGATTTCTTTGTTACACAAGAGTTATTACAGTCTAGAATGCACGGTCTGAAACGGTCGGTGGAAACAGATTCAATAACAACTTTCAAAAGGGAATTGGATAGTTACTTGAAGAGGAAAATTATGCAAGTGGATGGGGAGAGCACAGGGGAGTGGGACTGATTGGTTAACTATGAACTGAGGCATATACACCAACACAGTTGGTTGGCTGATCTCAGCCAGGATAGCAGTGGAGAGCAATAAAGAATCCTTTGGTGGGGTGTGTGGGGGAGGGAGGGGAGAGGGGGAAATAAACCACGATTCAACTATCCAATGACATTTCTTGAAACAAAATTATTTACTTCAATCCACGACTGTTTGTGGGACACTGCTGTGCGCGATTGACGGGAGAGCCTTCAGCCACTCTGCCCCCAACCTCTGGAATTCCATCCCCCAATCACTCCGCCTTGCCCCCTCCTTAGCCTCCTTCAAGTCCCGCCTCAAGACCCTCCTCTTCGACCATGCCATCGGCCACCACCCCTTCCCCGCCCCTCCCTTCTCTCCTCCTGACCCCAGCTTGAGTCTGAAATGCTATACACTGTCCAGCGCCGTGGGACATCCTACTGACGTGAAAGGCGCTATAAAATGTAAGCTGTAATCTAATATTCTGTGAAGCACTTTGGGATGTCTCAGAGACGTGATAAGGAGCTATATCAAAGCGATCCGCATCAACTAATAACCGAGTTTCTAGTTAGTGCTAGGTATGCAGAGGCATGTGGAGTAAAGAAATTTGTCTAAGGTCTCACCTTGCCCGAGAATTGAACCTAGGTCCTCTCGCTTGCAAGGGGGAATTTAATGTACTTTGAACATAAAGGTTACCTGCAGATTCCGGTCCAGGGAGGCAGCATACCAGGTCCTATTCACAAGTGATGCCTCCTTTCTATCTGATGTGCACAGGAACCTCAGTATGTACCTGATCACCTGTTGACAGAAGCATTACCATTACTGGGCTGGTGGTAACATGGACATGTTACAATGGAGACGCTCTCCAACATTCTGCTGTACCACTAAAAACACTCGAATAACAATCCCCCCCCCCACCACATCTCCTGCTGCCCACTGTCATTCTGGGAAATTGCTCCCCCCTCCCCCAGTTCCATTTTGGGTTAAAAATTGTTGTTAACCCAAGCTAGATTTGGGGGTACAGGGGTAAGAGAAACAATCTAGATTAAGATTGTTAATCTGAGTGATGGAGCAGGCTGGAGCCCGCTGAACGGAGGGAGCGGGAAGGTTGGTAGGGAGTTAGCAGGTCAGAGAGGTAGGAGGGGGCAATTGAAAGTGAGGATGAGGATCTTGAACTCGATCCTCTGGGGGATGGGGAGCCAGTGGAGTCGGGCGAGGGTGGGAGTGATGGGGTCGCGGAGCCTGGTGCGTGAGAGTACACGAGCTGCAGAGTTTTGGATGATCTGCAGTTTGTGAAGGGAAGAGTTGGGAAGGCCGATGAGGAGGGAGTTCCCGTAATCGATCCTTGATGTGACGAATGTGTGGGTGAGGGTTTGGGGGCCTGAGGGGTGAGGCAGTGGCGGAGTCTGGCAATGTTGCGGTGGTGGTGGTAGGCAGTGCCCGTCATGGAGCGGATGTGGAGGAGAAAGGACAGTTCAGGGTCAAACAAGACGCCCAGGTTCCTGACCGGCTTAGTGAGGTTGAGAGTGCAGCCGTGGAGGCTGATGCTGCCAGCGCCCGAGATGCGGAGGTGCTGGTGTGAGCCAATCAGGAGGGCCCTGGTCTTGCTGACGTTCAGTTGGAGAAAGTTGTCCCTCGTCCAGGACTTGATGTCGGACAGGCAGTCGGTCAGGACGCCAGTAGTCCTGGAGTTCAGGATGGAATCAGAAAGGTAGAGTTGTGTGTCATCCGCATACACACAAATTTTACCCATTTTACCCCATGTCTGCAAATGATGTCACCAAGGGGGAGCATGAAGAGGAGAGGACCGAGGACAGAGCCCTGAGGAACTCCGCACGAGATAGTGCAGGAACTGGAGGAGGATCGTGTGCTGCAACAAAGTGAAAGGTAGGACCTGAACCAGTCAAGGACAGAACCTTGAAGGTTGAGGTGGGAGAGGCGGTGGAGGAGGATTGAGTGGTCCACGGTGTCAAAGGCAGCGGAGAAGTTGAGGTGGATGAGGAGGCAGAGGGAGCCCTGGTCACACATGGTCAGGATGTCATTTGTGACCTTGACCAGAGCAGTTTCCGTGCTGTGGGGACGGTAACCTAATTGGAGGGACTCATGGAGGGATTGGGAGGAAAGAGCGAAGCTGGGAGGCAATGGCTCTCTCTCAAGGATCCTGGATAGGAAAGGGAGGTTTGAGATAGGCCGGTAGCTAGATAGCTGTGATGGGTCAAGGGAAGTTTCTTCAAGGTGGGGGTAATGATGGCTGTTTTTAGGGGGGAAGGAACAGTGCCAGATAACAGGGAGAGGTTGATGAGGTCGGCGAGTAGTGGGGCAAGGAGATGGAGCTGGGATTTAAGGAGAGGGGTGGGGATGGGGTCCAGAGAGCAGGGAGCAGAAAGGGACATACAAGCAAATGTAGTATATACCCCAAGAAATTCCTTCAATATTGGAACAGTAAAGGAAGATATTAAATCCCTACGAGATTCAAAGGGGGAATGATAAAGAGAACGAACCTCATGCAACACTATGCATTTTGCAAGAGATGATAAAGGCTTCTAAACCCAAACAGATGCTAAATTGGCCCCCTTTAAATCCATTACCTTCAGTATCATTATAAGCCATCAGCAACATTTCATAAGTTGTATCTACGCAAGGCTGGAAGTTATTAATGCACAAGATAAAGAGGCTTCTGCCTCCTCGAGTCTAGTGCACTGTGACCAGCGAACTGCCGAGTGCCTGACACTGTAAGCGATGCCGCAGGAGAGCAAAGACTTTTTACAGGGAAAACGCGTATCACTGTATCAAAGAAAGAACATATTTTATAGCTCCTTCCCGCGTCATGGCATTTCAAACAGCTTCAAAGTAATTGCTGTTTCATGAAATAATAATAATAATAATGCGTTTCAAAAAGGGCTTTTCACATCCAGTGGACGTCTCAATGTGCTTCACAGGATTTACAACAACAACTTGCACTTATATGGCGCCCTCCACGCAGGGCAGCGTCTCAGAGCGATTTTCCGTCAAATGGAGAAAGCGTGTATTTTGTAGGCCATGTATGCGCAAACAGCTTTGCGGCGGATGAGCGATTTATCTGGAGGATTGTCAATCTGTATCTGTACCTTTTAATGGCCGCCTGAACAGGCATTGAAAGTCTCATCCAAAGCACTGCACCACCGACAATACAGTGTGTGTCATCAGTTCCCCCACCACCAGCACTACACTGGGGTGGCAGCCTCAACTCTGAGCTCAAAGTCCCGACGTGGGGGCTTGAACCCACAACCTTTCTTGACTCAACCAAAGACGAAAGCGCAAGCAACTGAGCCAATGTGATACAGGCAGAGTAGAGTGCAGTACACGCACAGTACAGTAGTTCCCATTGTAGGATAAGTTACTGTACGAGCACTGGGCGTAGGGCAGCTCAGCCGGGAAAGGTCCCACTGCATTGTGTTCTTGTGCGATTGCGTGAAACTCTACGTAAATACTGTACAGACCTTCAACAAGTCTTTTAACAGCTCAGAATAAAGAGCGTGGGATTCCCTTACCTCCACGGGCATCAATGGGCTTTCCATCTTCCCCTCACATGTGAGCCACTTTGATTGCTGCCCTTCCTGCTCAGGTTAGAGTGAGGCAGAGCATGACCGGTCCCCACAGGGCTGTAAATGGCAGCTCTCTCACATGTGTGACCCTCACTCCTCACTCACATTGTAACGCAGCTGAACTTTCCTTCTCCCCTCTCCGTCCTCCGCGGTCCCAGTGGGTCCAGTCCCAGGCACTGTGTGTGTGTGTGCAGTGTGACCCTGACTCACCCCCCCCAGCCTGGCATCCTCTTCCTCATCACCCACCACTCACCTGGACAGCTCTCTCTCTCTCTCTCTGACCCTGTCACTCTCTCTCTCTCTCTGTGACCCTGTCACTCTCACTCTCTCTCTCTCTCTGACCCTGTCACTCTCTCTCTCTCTCTCTCTGACCGTCACTCTCTCTCTCTCTCTGTGACCCTGTCACTCTCCTCTCTCTCTCTCTCTCTGACCCTGTCACTCTCTCTCTCTCTCTCTCTGACCCTGTCACTCTCTCTCTCTCTCTCTGACCCTGTCACTCTCTCTCTCTCTCTCTGACCCTGTCTCTCTCTCTCTCTGACCCTGTCTCTCTCTCTCTCTGACCCTGTCTCTCTCTCTCTCTCTCTCTCTGACCCTGTCACTCTCTCTCTCTCTGACCCTGTCACTCTCTCTCTCTCTCTGACCCTGTCACTCTCTCTCTCTCTCTGACCCTGTCACTCTCTCTCTCTCTGACCCTGTCACTCTCTCTCTCTCTGACCCTGTCACTCTCTCTCTCTCTGACTGACCATCACTCTCTCTCTCTCTCTGACTGATCACTCTCTCTCTCTCTCTCTCTCTGACCCTGTCACTCTCTCTCTCTCTCTGACCCTGTCACTCTCTCTCTCTGACCCTGTCACTCTCTCTCTCTGTCTCTCTCTGACCCTGTCACTCTCTCTCTCTCTCTGACCCTGTCTCTCTCTCTCTCTGACCCTGTCACTCTCTCTCTCTCTGACCCTGTCACTCTCTCTCTCTGACCCTGTCACTCTCTCTCTCTCTCTGACCCTGTCACTCTCTCTCTCTCTGACCCTGTCACTCTCTCTCTCTCTCTCTCTCTGACCCTGTCACTCTCTCTCGCTCTCTCTCTGACCCTGTCACTCTCTCTCTCTGACCCTGTCACTCTCTCTCTCTGACCCTGTCACTCTCTCTCTCTGTCTCTCTCTGACCCTGTCACTCTCTCTTCTCTCTCTCTCTCTCTCTCTGACCCTGTCACTCTCTCTCTCTCTCTCTCTCTGACCCTGTCACTCTCTCTCTCTCTCTGACCCTGTCACTCTCTCTCTCTCTCTGACCCTGTCACTCTCTCTCTCTCACTCTCTATCACATTCCCTCTCTCCTGGCTCTCTCTGTCACGTGAGCCGGCAGGCGCTGTGCATGTCGGGAGCTGGAGTTGTTGCCATGGAGACAGTGGAGCAGGGACGCTGCAGGTCCTGCGCATGCGAAGTGGGGGGGGGTGGCGGCCATATTGGTAAAGGAGTGAAGCCTGGGAACCTCCCTGGTCCCTCAGCCCCTCCCAGCTGTGGCTGCCACACATCAGTCCTGGTGACTGTGGGCTCCCTCACACTCCCTCCCCCCCTCCCTCCCCTCCCCCGGGGGGTGACCTGGTCCTCACGCCTACATTTACGCAGCAAATCTTCCCCACAGGAAACCCGTCACCGTGCGTAAGAGTCTCCAAACCAAACAACAACAACAACAACAACAACAAGGTTACGTCCCAAGGCGCTGGACCGGCAGAGATAGTTTTGGAAGCACGGACGGTTGAAGAGGAGGGTCTCGAGACGGGTCTTGAGGGAGGCGGGGGCGGGGGGGGGGGGGGGGCGAGCGGAGGGACTGCGGGATGGAGTTCCAGAGGGGCAGAGTGGCACCGCAAACAGAGTTCCACACATCCCACCTACATATGGAAATTCCTAGAGATACTATGGAATGGAATGCACGTTCTCTCTTCCACTCCCTGGAGGGATGCATCCTGCTTTCCTAATTTCAAAAGTATTAGGCGCTGGTTGGCAAGAAACAAGGCTTGGAGACCCCATCTCCAAGTGTGTTGGGGTAACCCACCAGCTAAAACCACACAGCTTGCCACTGAGAGCACTGTCTGCTGAGCTTTCCCGCTGCTTGTCCAGCTAGGACCACCCTAACCGTTAGGGCTTTGGCTGCGGGGTTAACAGGAGCTGAGTGGGAAGAGTCCCTTTCCCCCAATGTGCTCTACGGAGTGAGATTGACTACAAAGGAGATGAAAGGTGTTACAGAGGCAAACGTCGCAGTTAATTTGCACCATCAACATTCTGCACACAACACGGAGGTGAAATAGCCAATGAATTTTAATTCAGGATGAGGAGAGAAAATAAATCAGGAGAAGCCGGGAGAAAAGCTCTCAGTGTCTCATTTTTCTTCAAGTCCTTAACATCCAACTGATGCACCTACAAATACACAGTCACTCCACTTTACAATATGTTCTGTGAAGTGCTTTAAAGTGACTCAATGATGTGATCAGGCTTAAATCAAATGCAAGGATTATTATTATTTTATTAAGGTGAATCAGACTCAATCATAAATCTGAAAACAATGAACAAACGTGTATTTAATGTAGAATTCTGTTTTGGAGGCAAACGCAGCAATCAATAATAATAAAAATCTTTGCATTTGATACAGTGCCTTATTGCGTCTTCGAGACGTCTCAACGTGCTTCAAAGGATACACTGTAAAGTGAATTGAATGTATATTTAATGGGCGAAACGTGGCAGCCAATTGCGCCAACAAGCACCCACAAACACCAGAGAGCGACAAGAAGTCAAATTCAATTGAATTTTTAAGGCAGATTTGGAAATAAAGACACAGTTTGACACAATAGTGCCAACTGGTGGCTAAAAATAGTATCTGAATTGGCTTCAATGGGCTGCTTTGTTGGAGATCCAGTACCATCCTTTGGATCAGATATTAATCAGACAAGGTCCTGTTCAGATGGATGTTAAAGATACCATGGCTCTGTGGGAGAGAAGAGAAAAGAGAAGGGAGTTTCTCCTGGCCAACAATCCTCCAAATAAAGTTGGTCAGCTTAAAATTCAGCCATGATCTGATAGAATGGCGGAACAGGCTCAAGGGGCTGAATCGTCTTCTCCTGTTTCTATGTTTATGTTTCTATGTCAGTAACTTCATGATGATGCTGTGGTGCAAAATAGTAGTCGTGTTTGCCTATGAACATACAGTCACTACACTTGCCAGTAATTACTGCTCGCAGAAACAGTCAATCTATTTAATAATGATAAGACTATCATTCAAATAAAGAATGTACATTTCTGTATTTAAAAGCAATCCATTAGATTTTTGTTCCATTTTTTCCCATTTTCCCGGCTCCTCTTCTAAACGCTGCTGAGTTACACAGGTGCCTGCTCTCCCTCATCGAAGGGGCCAGTCTTCCTGCGTCAGCGCAGTGTGAGTGTCAGTCACCGAGAACTTCAACCAGGGTCGGGGCGGGGAGTGGGGGGGTGGAGGATGAGGGGAGGTCAGTACAGCCTAGCCAGCCGACGGGGACAGCAATCAGGAGCAGCTCATCTGTTTGCCTCACAATGTTGACTTATTTATTCAATGGTAGAAAAAAAGGCCAGATAATTAAATTGGTCACTCGCTTTGTGGTTGTGTGGGGGACATTCCTGGGTACAAATTGGCTCCCGTTGGCTGCAAATACACCTTTTAATTGCTTTGCGATGTTTCGACGATGTGATAAAAGGCGCTGTGTCAGATAGAAGAGTTATTAAATAATATTAGTAATAGAGCCACCCAGGTAATGTTTTGTAGCTGCATTTGCTCAGATTGGTCACGAGAGGTCAGTGCGACTCAGCATTAAACTCCTGTTAACCCCACATTTACTGGCCATCACATCTGTTGAATGGTCCTCACATTGAGTGAGCAGCGACAACAAAGAAATCTCTCAAAGCACTTCTCAGGGAATTGGCGTGGTGGTGTAGTGACTGTGCATTCGCAGCAACCCATTTTGCACCCAGCGCAGTGAAGGCTCACAGGCAGCCATGAAGGGAGTGACCAATTCTATTTGGGGGATTGTTGGCCAAGAGGAACTCTCTTCTCAATGACGACAACAAATTACATTTCTATAGCGTCTTTCACGTCGGGAGGACATCCCCAGGCACTGGACAGTCAAAGATTTTTTCTCTTTTCCTGTTGGAAATGGGGTCATGGGGTCTTTTAATGTTTTACCCATTATAAACACGGAGAGCATTGGCCGGTGTTAACGCACATTTCCCACCATTACCTGTTTTCTGGGGGAGGGAGGAGTGGGGGGGGTGCAAACAGGCTGACATCAACAGTGATAGAATCTACAGCCGTGAATTCCTGTCTGCAGACAAGAAACCTTTAAGAGCTCCGTTCTGTGTCAGATGTGAAAGCCTTAATTACGATTGACTGCAAACGACACCATTCCTCTGAGCTCTGAGAAGTCAGGGATCTTTATTGAATCGCTGTTTTATTTTGTCTGCAAAAAAAATTGGACTGGACAAAATACAGTGTGCAGCCCTGAGATAGCAATCTCTGATATACGCCTGCCTGGTGCAAAGGAAATGCTTCAGACATGACTTAAGGTCTTCTGCCCGTTTGACAAGTAAACGAAGGAATGATGCTTGTTCGTGGTTACTATCAGACGTCACTGGCTGCGGCTTGTGGTTCATTCCCGGCCTCCGATCCCTGGAGCCGAAAAACTTCACCCAAGTGTCCTGGCACAGCTCCAGTCTGGGGCCGGAGTACTAGGAAAAGCAGGAGAGAGAGCGCTGAATTGTGAGCGACACCCTTCGTCTTTCAGACGAGACCCCCAGTGCACAGCCCCCACCCGGCCCATCAGCTGGACGTTAAGGGGTCCCGGTGACAGTGTTTTTTTCAAGACGAGGAGAAGGTTTTCCTGGTTTCCCGGTGAATATTTCTCCATTCATATCCCCTTCGCTCCAATCCACTGACTGGCTCCTTCACCTCGTCACTGGGCTGAAAGCGTCACAATCAGTCTGGCTCGGTTGGTCTCTCTCTCACCTCTGAGTCAGGAGGTTGTGGGGATCAAGTGCCAGGGTTGGAACTTCAAGCTCATATAGTCTGGGGTGACCCTTTAACGTTGGTGGTGGTGGTGGGGTGGTGGGGGGGGAGGGGGTGTGGTTACATTGTCAGAGGTGCCGTCCTTCGGATGAGATGCTAAACCAAGGTCCTGTCTGTCTGTTCAAGATCCCACGGATCAACGTA